TCTGCTACCCTACATCGATGTATCTGAAAATTGCTACAGTGTTTCCAAACATGGGGCCACCTAGTTCTGTTTCTCCAGTCGTATTACGTGTGCTCTCATGTGTCTGTGTCATGGATAAGCTAATATCCTGCGTCCCTGTCATGGGCCTGCTGCTGCTCTGTTTCCATATGTCAATGCACTACTGCCATGACTCCATGTAATCAATTAACTTCTGTTGTGTTGCCATGCAATTACCAAACTGCTTCTGTGTCTCCATAGCATTGATCGCCTCCTGGCACTTCTTTATATATTCTGCCACCTGTTGCCATATCTACAGGATTCGGCCATCTACTGCCATGTATCCATATCACAGGAAACATATCCATCTCTGCATATTCTTGACCAACTCTTGGTATGTCTCCATAGCCTATGCCGTCTTTATATCATAGACTGCCACACACTGTGTCTCCTTATCATGAGCCTCCTGCAGCCTGCCTCTCAGTATTGGACAAGTGCTGCCATATGTCCATATCACGGGTCACCTGATCCTGATCCTGTATGTATACCACATGCCAAGTGCTTCCATGCCTCCGTATTATGGGCCACCTGACACCTTGCTTCAGGACTGGCAGCTCCTGTTGTCATGTCTCCCAATACCTGCCCACTGCTACTGTGTCTCCATGTAATCAGACACCTGATACCATGCATAATGTGTGCCACTTCCTGCCATTTCACCACATCAAGTGCCACCTGTGACATGCCTACATATGTTGAGCCACTTGATACTTATTCTCCCTATGATGGCGTGCTGTTGCCACAACTCCCTACATCTATTCTGCCACCTGCTGCCATGTTTCCATGTAACTGACAGCTTGCTGCCATGCCTCCCTGTCATGGATCAACATGCATTTCTCTCTGTGTATTCTCTGCCACCTGTCAGATCTCCACGTCATGAGCCACCTGATACCTCTCTCCCTGTCAGAGGCCTCCTCCTGCCATGTCTCCATATCTTGTTCCACTGTGTCTGGGTCGCCATATCCCAGGCCATCTGTCATCAAGTCTCTGCATAATAGGCCTCCTGCTGACTTGTCTTCCTGTTTTGGGCCATTGCTTCTGAGTCTTCATATTCTGAACCAGCTGCTGCTGTATCTTCAAATCAAGTTATAGCAGTAGCCACATTTCCATATCCTCTGCTTCCATGGTTGGATATCAGAGACCACCATATATATGCCTAATCTCATCAACTTAAGATTTCTATTGCCCCATCTTTCCATACCTGCAAACTGCTACAATGTCTCCAAGCATGAGGCCACCTACTATCCATGTCTCCGTATCATCTGCCACATGCGCATCTGTCCATTCCATGGGCCACATGATGCCCTGCCTCCCTCTCCTGGGCCTGCTGCTACCGTATATCCACACATTGGCCCACTGTCACCATGGCTCCATGTAATCAACTAACTGCTTTCTTGTCTCTATCAATCCACCCACTGTTGCTATGTCTACATGCAATTGCCCAACTGCTGCTTTGTCTCTATATCATTAGACATCTCCTGGCATTTCACAGTATAATCTGCCACCTGCTGCATGTCTCCATGGAATTGGGAACATAGTACCATGACTCAGTGGAATCAGGCAACTGCTGCCATACTTCCATATCATGGCCCACATGCGTCCATGTCTGCATACTGTCTGCCAGCTACAGCCATGTCTTCATAATCCTATGCCACCTTTTGTCCTGTGTCTATATCATGTGCCACCTGCACTTTGTCTCCCTATCCTGAGCCTCCTGCTGCCGTGTCTCACAATTACGTGACAACTGCTACCAAGCATCCATGACACCTGCTGCTCCCTTTAGTCTAGATCAGATGCCAACTGCTTCCGTGCCTCCATGTCATGGGCCACCGGACACCTTACTTCTGGACTGTGGGCCTCCTAATGCCTTGTCTCTCCATATCTGCCCACTGCTGTTAAATCTCTGTATAATCAGACACCTAGTACTCCTTGTCCATAATATGTACCACTTCCTGCTATTTCATCATATCACCTGCCACCTCCTTATCATGCCTAAATATGATGAGCCACTTAACACATTTTCTCCCTATTAAGGCCCGCTATATGACTCCTCATATCTGCCACCTGCTACTGGTTCTACGTATCAGGGGACACACGATAGCTTGCCTCCCTCTCATGCTGCTGTGGCTAAGTGTATCAGCCCACTGCTGCCTGGTCTCTAAGTCATGGACCAGTTGCTGCTGCATCTCCATATTGTGCTACTTGCTGCCCTGTCAGTACGTCATGGGCCACCTTCCGCTTTGTCTCCCTCTCATGGGCTTCCCTTGACCCTGTCCCACAATATAACTATTGCCATGTAAACATATTACGGGCCACCTTCTCCCATTACCCTGGATCCCATGCCACTTGCTTCCATGCCTCTATATTATGACCACCTGACACATTGCCTCTGGATCGTGAGCCTCCTCCTGCTTCGTCTCCCAATATCTGCCCACAGCTATTGTGTATCCACATTATAAAACATACAGTGCAGTTTGTCTATAATATGCCCCATCTATTCCCATTTCACCATATCATCTGCCACTTGTTGCCATGCCAAGATAGGGTGGGCTACTTGATTCTACCTGATACAATTTCTTTTTTTTATTTAAGAAATTTTTTATTTATTTGAAAGTCAGAGTTATACAGAGAGAGGATAGGCAGAGAGAGAGAGAGAGAGAGAGAGAGAGGTCTTCCATCCGATGGTTCACTCCCCAAATGGCCACAACGGCCGGAGCTGCACCGATCCGAAGCCAGGAGCCAGGAGCTTCTTCTGGGTCTTCCACATGGGTGCAGGGGCCCAAGGAGTTGGGCCAACTTGATACAATTTCTCCCTAAGATGTCCTGCTGTTGCCACAACTCTGTCTGCCACTGCTGCCATTTCTACATATCCTGGGACTCACAATGCCTTGCCTCCCTCCTTTGGACTTCTGCTGCCTTGGCTCTGTATATATGCCCACTGCTGCTGATTGTCTGTGTCATGAACCAACTGCAGCCATGTATTCATATTACTTGCCATCTCCTGCCATTTCTGAGTAGATTCTACCTGCTCTCAGATGTGCATATAATGGCCCAGCTTTGGCCATGTCTCCATGACATTTGCCACCATCTTCTTTAGTAACATATTATTGGCCACCTTTTGACTCACCTTCCTGTCACGAACCTCCTGATGCTCTATTTCCCAATATCTGCCAACAGCTCAGTCTCTCCAAATCTTGGGCCACCCGCTGCCATTTCTCCACATCACCTGTCACCCACTCTCGTGTCCCCTAGCAAGAGTCGCCTGAAGCATTTTTTACCTGTAACGGTTCTCCTGCTGCTGTTGACTTCCAATATCTGGATCTGCTGTGGGGACTCCATATCACTGACCACCAGATGCCCTGCCTCTCTGTAATGGGCCTGTGGCTGCCATGTGTACATACCTGCCCCTGCTGCCTTGTCTACATGGGATCAACTAACTGCTGCTGTGTCTCCGTGTAATCGCCAGCCTTCTGTGATGCCTCCCTGCCACATACCGACATGCGTTCCTGTCTGTGAATTCTCTGTCACCACTGTTGGATCTCCACATCATGAGACACCTGACAACTGCCTCCATCAGAGGCCTCCTCCTGCCGTTTCCCCCGATATTGTTCCCGTGCTTCTGAGTCTTAACATACCAGCCATCTGCGGTCCTGTCAGTGTATAATAGGCCTCTTGCTGCCTTGTCTTCCTCTGTTGTGCCACTGCTTTTGGGTCTCCATGTCCTCAGCAACCTGCTGGCTGCTGTGTCGCCATATCAAGAGCAAATGCTAGCTATGTCTGCGTAGCCTCTGCCACCCACTTCTGTAGTTGGGAGAAACAGGGCACCTTATCTTTAATCTCATTAACATGAGCTTTCTGCTGCCCTGTCTCCCTGTATTTGCAAACTACTGCAGTGTCTCTGAACACGGGACCACACTTCTCTTTCTCCGTATTATCAGCAGTGTGCTCCCATGGGTGCATTTCATGGGCCATTTGATGCCCTGCCTCCCTCTCCTGGGCCTGCTGCCCCAGTACATCCATATGTCAGCTCACCTCCCGTGGGGCTCTAGGTAATCAACTAACTGCGGCTATTTCTCTGTCAAGCTGCCCACTGAGGATGTGTCTCCATGTAATTGCATAACCACAGCCATGTCTCTGTATCATCAGCCTCCTCCTGCATTTCTGAATCTATTCTGCCATGTGCTATCATGTCTCCATGGATTTGGCTGTCACATGCATGTCTCCATATCATGGCAAACCCACATCCATGTCTGCATATTCTGTGTCAAACACTGCCGTGTCTCTATGTGCTATGACACCAGGTGCCCTGTCTCTGTATCATGAACCATCTGATGCTTTGTCATCCTATCATGAGCCTCCTGCTGCCCTGTCTTACAGCATCTCGCAACTGCTGCTGTGTATCCACATCACGGGTCACCTGCTCCTGTTGCTCTAGATCATATCTCAGCTGCTTCCATGCCTCCGTATTATGGCATGACACCTTGCTTCTGGGTCATGGGCCTCCTGCTGCCCTGTCTCCCAATATCTGACCACTGCTACTATGACCCCATATAATCAGACACTTAACACGGTGTGTCTGTATTAAGGTCCACCTCCTGTCATTTTACCATATCATCTGCTTCCCACTACTATGTCAAAATATGACAAGCCACATGACATGTTTTCTCTCTGCGATGGTATGTTATTGCCATGATTTCCTACATCTGCCACCTGCCTCTGCTTCTCTATATCATGGCTGCACAATGCCTTGCTTCCCTCTCCTGGGCCTCTGGCTCTATGTATCCACCTACTGCCACCGTGTCTCCATATCATGAACCAAGTGCTGCTGTGTCTTGAAACCATTTGTCACCTCCTGCCAGCTTTGAATAGATTCTATAGATTCTGCCACCTGCTGCTGTGTACATATAGTGGTCCTCCTCTGGCCATGTCTCCATGTCATCTGTCACTGTCTTCCATGATTGCATATTATTGGCTCCTTACACCTCATCTTACTATCATGAGCCTCCTGTTACCCTAGTTCCCTATCTCTGCCAACAACTGCAGTGTCTCCAATTCGTGGGCCACTTCTGCCATTTCTCCGTATTGCCTGCCACCTAACACCATGAGGCCATGTCATGAGTCTGCTGAAACAACGTTTACCTGTCACAGGTCTCCTGCTGCCATGACTTCCTGTGCCTGCTACATGCTGCAGAGTCTCTGTTATGGACCACGGGATTCCCTGCGTCTGTCATGGGTCTGTTGTGTTGTATATCCACCCACCTGCCCACTCTCATTGAGTCTCTATGGAATCAACTAATTTCTGCTTTGTCAATCAGCCCAGTGCTGCTGTGCCACCATATCAAGAGACACCTGAAACATCGGTTACCTGTCATGGGTCCCCTGCCGCGTGACTTCCTGTATCTCACTTGCAGTGATGTCTCCACAGGCCACTTAAAGCCCTGCCTCTCTCTCATGGACTTCCTGCCCTCATGTATCTGTAGATCTGTCCAAAGCCGAAGTGTCTCCATGTAATAAAGCAACTGTAGCTATGTCTCCAAAAATCTTCTCTCTGCTTCTGTGTTTCCATGCAATACAGCAACTGCTGCTGTATTTTTTTTTAACTTTTATTTAATGAATATAAATTTCCAAAGTACGATTTATGGATTACAATGGGTTCCCCCACATACCGTCCCTCCCACCCACTACCCTCCTCTTTCCCACTCCCTCTCCCCTTCCATTCACATCAAGATTCATTTTCGATTATCTTAATATACAGAAGATCAGCTTAGTATACATTAAGTAAGGATTTCAACAGTTTGCTCTCACACAGAAACATAAAGTGAAAAATAATAGATGATTTTTTTTAAATGATGATGAAATCAGATCAGACCTATTTTCATGTTTAATCCCAGTGAGAGTCAAGTTGGGAGTTGATAATTTCTTTTTTTTTTCTTTTTTTTTTTTTACAGAGGATCAGTTTAGTATACATTAAGTAAAGATTTCGACAGTTTGCACCCCCATAAAAACACAAAGTGAAATATATTGTTTGAGTACTCGTTATAGCATTAAATCTCAATACACAGCACATTAAGGACAGAGATCCCACATGAGGAGTAAGTGCACAGTGACTCCTGTTGTTGACTTTACCAGTTGACACTCCTGTCTATGGCATCAGTAGTCTCCCTATGCTCCGGTCATGAGTTGCCAAGGCTATGGAAGCCCTCTGAGTTCTCCGATTCTTATCTTGTTTAACAAGCTCATAGTCAAAGTGGAGGTTCTCTCCTCCCTTCAGAGAAAGGTACCTCCTTCTTTGAAGACCTGTTCTTTCCACTGGGATCTCACTCGCAGAGATCTTTTGCCAGAGTGTCTTGGCTTTCCATGCCTGAAATACTCCCATGGGCTTTTCAGCCAGATCCGAATGCCTTTAGGGCTGATTCTGAGGCCAGAGTGCTATTTAGGACATCTGCCATTCTATGAGTCTGCTGAGTATCTCATTTCCCATGTTGGATCACTCTCCCCTTTATTTATTCCAACGGTTAGTGTTAGCAGGTACTAGACTTGCTTTTTATTCAGTGAGAGAAATGCATAGTAGAGTGAGGGCTGTATCTAAGAGAGAAAGGGCCATCTAGATCCTTACCAAGCAGAGAGTAGGTCAAGAGCCATGTGCAGCAAGCGTTTGGTTATGAGCAGCTACTAGCAGCTTATCACAGGCAGTAAAGGGAAGGCAGAGAGCAGGATGGCCCAAAGGCCATGCACCCCAAAGGTGCAGGGCAACAAAAGGGGATCCAGGGCATCAAGGGAAAATAAGGGGGAAAGGAGGAAAAGCAAGAAGGGAATGCTGTATCTTCATATCATCAGCGCATGCCTGAATTTCTCACTGTATTCTGCCACCTGCTGCCATGTTTCCAAGTAGTCAGCTTCCAGCTACTGCTGTGTTTCCCTACATAGGCTATGTCTGTAACTTACTGCTTTATGTCCATATCAGAGCCCACCTCCTCCCATTTCCCCATATCATTTGCCACTTGCACTGGAGTCTCCATATCAACAGTATTCTGCCTGAATCCCTGTATCTGACCCCTGCTGCCAAGTCCCAGCTTCTGATTGGAAAAATACCAAACACTCTCATTTGCTCCTCAACCCTATGGGTTGAAGCTGCTTCCTAAGGTTACTATATTTGTAATACCGTGGTGTCCCCTTTTCCACTTATAGCCCCCCAGCCCCTGTTTAACCAATCCTGCATATTAAATTCTGCCTTTTAAATCAATAGTATGGCTTCTATTTCCTGCTTACTTTTTTGTGGACTTACACCTATATCCTATGGGAAGTAAAAAATGGAAAGATCTTCCAAAAAAAGAGTCTTGTTTTGTATCTCTCCTAAAGAACATGACACAAAAGTGGACAAAGTATCTCCACTGAACCAGAGAACCTTTTAAACATTGTCATGTAGAATTCCCTTGCGGAACTTCATAGACTCCTTTAGGGTGTTTAGGGCTGCATGCAGTTGTAACCATTGCAGAAGTCAGTGCTGGAGCAGAGAACAATTAGATTGATGACCAGGCAGGAAAAGTAAACATATAAAGTAGGTTCAGTTAGTGAAGCAAGACAGAGAAATGAGTCACTTGGTAAATAGGAGACCATGTAATTTGTCTACAAGGAGTTACTCCTACTTAGTTCCAGCTCATTCTACTATATGAGACTGTGATGCCAATATCTTCTGCAGAAATATAAAAACTTACTTTTTTTTGGTAAAATTTTTAGCAACTGATTCAAATTTATAAAATGCAGCTGCGAAACTGAAAGCCATGGAAGTCAAAAAATATCTTTTTCATTTGGGTTATTGGTCAGAATTTCTCAAATCTCCAGGACCTCATTAGACTTATTTATGGGAGTCATGGAATCTTAGGCAAACTCCATCTGGCGAAATATCTTTGCAGAGCACTTTGTCCCTGTAGTTGTAGGTGTGGGTAACAGCCAGTGATATACAGTTTATATATATTTTTTGTACATATCTTCTTCCTTATGAGACTGTGAGCCCCTAGCACAATGCCTGGAATACAGCACGCATTCAAAACAGTAGGTTTCAAAAACTGAAAAAGTGAGTAATGAATTAAAGAAGAAAATATATTGTATAAAACACATCTTGGAAATTAGACTTATGTCCTAGGCCTGCCTTTGCCTTTAGCTGTGTGACTTTGAGAAATCACTTTAGTTATCAGGAAATAATTTTCTAATCAGTTAAATGGAAATGCTAATACCTACCTTCCAAGGTTTTTTGTTTGTATAATTCTCAATTTATTAAGATTATGAATGTGAAAGTGCATTTAGAGGGATTAGCTAATAGTGGAAGTGGGGGAGGGATTCCATTTTTTTTTCTTCTTTTCTCCCTTTTTGGTAGCTTGCTCTATACCTGTGCCAGAACTAGCACTAAAACATCAATGCAATTTACCTTAGTTCAGTGACAGACTACCTGCTCAGGTTTAAAGCCAATGGGCATGTATGTAAAAGGATTTCTACTGTTTTATCATTAGTATCAGATTGTACTTCCCTCAGAACGACTATGATCCCTCAGAATGACTATGATGATGTTTCCCCATCTGGTGGGGAAACCTTCCACATTACCACAATGGTGTGGCTCAAATCTTTTCACGTGTAATAAAAGGGCATTTCCTTGATTAATTTTCCTTTTATGAAATATCTAAGGTTATTATTTGAGCAAATGGATCCTCTTGTGAAATGTCCTTTTTGGATGTGTTCCAGGAAGTCACTTGCTTTTCCTATTATCAAATTATTTGAATTACTAAAGTGAGTGACTTCATGTACCTCCAATGCTTGATGTGCCTGAGGTGTTTCTGTGATGAAGTGGGCTGCAGATGCCCACAGACATCCAGAAAGCTCCTCCTGCTGGTTACCATTTTGTTGCCTCATCAAAGACTTCTGCAGCATCAGAGCCCACGGCCCCTCATTTATTTCTCCCCTGTGCCTTTTCCTGGCTGTCACTCTTCAGTTAAATGGAAGTTTTGTCAGTTCATAAGAACGCAAAGGCTCACTAACTTCAGTGTGGTCGGATCCTAGGAGGACAAACCTCAAACAGTTTGGCTGCAAGTACACATTTGTCATTCCTTTACCTTACTTTCACCTAACTTTGTAGAAACATTAAGCTTTTAAAAGATACTATTTTATTTCTATGTCGTCTTTGTTTTTCTACCACTCTCAAAACCTCCCCCTTACATCTTAAGTAGAATTCTAGAACCCTCATGCTCTTTACTTTCCTAATCACTTGGGAAGCAGGCATTTAATAATGTCCTAGGCACTGTTATTCTGATATCAGTGGGAAACTGCAATTCCTGTAGCCACATGGCACACAGTGTGTCTTTTCTTGTCTGATAGCTTTTTTGAACCAAGTAACTTTTCTAGTAAATTTTGCTTCCCATGACTCATTTGTCATCCTTTTTTATCGCAGCTGAGAAAATTAATTCTGAAGTCTGGAGAACTTCCCTCTTGGCACACATGCTTGTCCTAGCTGATTTTGACTGGCCAATGAAATCCATTGATTTACTGATTTCAGTTCTGTAAACATTTATTGTTCACTGAGTTAGCCAGACTCTGTGCTAATTATTGTGGCTGCAGAGTTTGTTCACAGATGGATTTGTCATCCAAACACTCACCAGAGTCAATGGGGAGAATTCCAAGGAAAGGCATGCTAACATTTCAGTGTAGTAGATGCTATAGGAGGAGACTTGATCCTTGTCTCAGGGCCAACAAAAATCAGGAAACCTTTCTGAGAAGGAAGAAAGGAAGGCAGGAAGGAGGAAAGGAATTAAGACAAGCTAATCCTTGAAGGATTTTGACCCAGGAAATGGTGTAATCTGATTTGTATTTTTGAACCATTATGAAGCATTAGTTAGAATTAGAAAAATAAATGGCCATCAAATTAGTCATGTTACAATTCATTATTACTAAGTATTTCCATTAACAGCTGTCAATATGTACTCATAAATCATCAATGGGAGCATGACTTTAGATTACCAAGACACTGAAGTATACTCTAGGGGGCACTTCAAGTTTAGAAACCTACAGCCCAATGGGAATGATCCTCACATTTAACACTTTTCTGCTTTAGTCTAGACTGATTTGAATTTTTTGACACAGCCAGGGAATATGCTTTCTCCAAACAAGGAGCAGTGAAGAGGGAAGGAGGAAGAAAGATATTCCTTAAACTCCTAGGATGCTGCTGCTTTTTTAGAACTTGAAAAGCTGATTCACAAATTTATACAGAATTGCAGTGGATCTACAAGAGCCAATACAATTTAGAATAGTAAGAATCAAAGCAGATGATGAATTCATATTTTATAAGAATTATTTTAAAGCTATTGAAAATAGTCTTGAGTTTCATAATGAAATCAATAAAATGAGGGCCTGTGCTGTGGCACAGTGGGTTAACGCCCTGGCCTGAAGCACCGGCATCCCGTATGGGTGCCGGTTCAAGTCCCAGCTGCTCCACTTCCAATCCAGCTCTCTGCTATGGCCTAGGAAAGCAGTAGAAGATGGCCCAAGTCCTTAG